ATGGAGAAGCCTCGACCACAAAGGATTTTAAAATTAAGTGGTCATGATTGGGTGATTGAGGTTCTAGATGGTCACCCAAGTACATATTTTGATCTTTTTTGAATGAAAAAAGAGGCATTTATAAGCCTCTGTGAAGAAGTAAAAAAAGATTGTTAAAATTAAAACATTCTAGAAATGTAACAGTCCAAGAACTAGTAATATTTTTATTTGTGCTCTCTCGTAATGAATGATAAAGGATAGCTACGGATCGCTTTCAACACTCGTTAGACAATCTCTACATATTTTAAGAAAGTCATTTATGCGATTTGTTCTTTGGCAAAATATGTGACCGTCCCTTCATATGATGAAACTCCTTCAGAGATATCGATTAAGCCAAAGTATTATCCTTATTTCAAGATATGAATATATTCCTTCTTTCTACATTCAATTATAAGAAATTGTTTATTACTATTCTAATATTAATATGTTTACATATTTTTGAGTGATAAAACAGCATAGGTGCAACAGATAGTACTCATGTTCTAGCTTGTGTGTCACAAGATAATCAAATTCCATATCGTGAAAGAAAACTATGTCGTCTATGAATATAATGTGTGCTTGTTCTTTTGAGATGCATTCACATTTGTTATGAGCGGATGAGAAGTGAAAATGATTCAAGAATTTTCTTAGAATGCATTAGCAATCTGACAAACAAATTCAAATAATGTCACACGCAATAAAGTACTACTTAGTTGATTTTGGGTATACCAATATGTCGGATTTTCTTTCACCATATCGCGGAGAGTGCTATTATTTGCATAATGTGAAGGACAAAATCCTCCACTATAAGGTGCTAGAGAATTATTCAATTACTTGCATTCTTCTTTAAGGAATGTTATCGAACAGTGCTTTGGGGTATTGAAAAAAACAATTCCCAATTTTAAGTTCCCAATTTTAAGAGACATGCCTTAATATAGTTTGAAAAAACAAAAACATATTGCATGAAGAAGCAAAGCTTGAAGAAGATGACATGATTGCACATTATCAAAATACCATTTTAGTTAGTGTTAGCCTTGAGGACCTTCATCAAATGGCGGCAAGATTTTGAGATCAAATGGCCCAAACGTTGTGGAACAATCACATTTGGGAACATTAGTAGGATGTGTCCTGAAATTAATGTAATATTATATTATAACACCATTAGAATATATTTTGAGATTGGTGTATACATTATCAATATCACTGTAATATGTTGCACAATTATTGGTCCTTGTTTTTGGATGGTGATGACATATTAGAGTTCTTTCAATTTTTGGATAATTAAAGTTATTCGAGTGAAACTTTTGAATGGCGACCGACGGCTACCGACGGTTCAATGAGGGCCAACCAATATTTTAAATGTCGAATGTCGGATTCATGTCGGACGGCTAAAATCCACATATGATAACAAAAATCGGAGATATATCGGGGGACATGGACTAAATATCGGATTGATATATCGGGTGGTGTGCATATATGATATGTATAATATCATATTCTAAATATAATCTAACAATTCCTAAATTCAATATAAGCATACTTTATAAATTCTAGAGGCGACGCCGGCGAAGGGTGGATTTCGACGTCACAGGGAGGCAGTATTTGGGCTCTTCTTCTTCTTCTTCGTCTGCTCAGGGTTCTTCGGATGAATCACCGACCACCCTCTTTTCTTTTTTCTGACGACGGGATATCCTGTCGTCATTGGGTTCGGATGGGGTTCGGATTTCGGGGTGCAACGGGAGATGGACGACGGGGTACAAGATGAGGGTGGGGGGATGACGTCGTCGTTCACGAAAGGAGTGGTCGGTTCCCAAGTCCGTTGTAGTCCTAATTTTTCTCTTTTCTTTTTATCGGGTTCATAAGAAACTTTTAAACATGAGAACGGGTCACATAGGTTTGAGTTTTTATCACTAAACTCAAACTCGATAACAAAAAACAGATCTAAAAAAATGCCATATCGACCGATTTTTTAAGGCTAAAAATCAGCCGATATGCTCGATATGATTCTGATATTTCCGATTTGGCACTGAAAACCGACATACGAGTTAAAGACGCTCATATCGTGTCGCTCAAGCCCTCAAACCGACATGTTAGCCGACATGTAGGACATGTCGGCCGATATTTAAAACCTTGGGGCCAACCGAGGGCGGTGACCGGTAGGTGGCGACGGCGAGTGGCGGGAGGGAGTAAGATCGATGGTTGAGTGCAACTAATGATTGTTGGTTGATTGGTAATCTACGTGCTATGTAAATGGTCGAACTAGTTTGACCAAAAACTCCAAAATAGTATTTTCAAAACACTTCTGCAAAAAAATCTGTGGCATGGTGTTTTTCTATGAAAACACAAGAAAACAGCTTAGTTGCCGAACACATCCTTAATAAACAAATACAACAACTTTATGAATAAAGACTATACTTTTTGAATAAAAACATAAAAGACAGTAACTCTTGTCTTTTTGCCTACCCTTTCTCAACGACTATCTCTCCTCACCATCTATCTCTTTCTTTGTCCTCTCTTCAAATCCCTCAACAGTTTTACAAATAAAAAATGTTAAAAATAACAACTGCTTACCTAACTTTTTTTATTTCTTATAGATTGCACGTAGTAAATATTTTTTTATTTTTTCCTTTAACAAAGTCTTCATGAAATAAAAAGTAGAGAAGAAAAAATCAGAGTAGAGGCGACGGAGAGAAGAGGGACTGGAGAAGAGTAGGAAGAGGTAGGCGGGGGGCGATAAAGTTGATGTAGATGATGATAAAGAACGGAGAAGAAGAAAGATGTGGAGGAAGAAGGGCGAAGGAGGATAGGTGATATTGAGAGAGGCAACGACAGATGTGAAGGTGATGGTGGAAGAGGACGATGAGAGCTGAGAAGAGACATAAGAGAGGTTGAAGGTGAGAAAGTGGGAGAGAGATGACATAAACTAAAATATTCTGAAGCTACAAAGATGTTAGCACTACATGAAAACATTCCTCTTAGAGTAGCTATTAATACAAATAATAAAAACTCGGTTATAGCTATTTTGTACATTCAATGTACTATACGGAGAGAGAAATACATATAGTTGAACATAGTAAAATAAGAAAATTTTGTTGAAATTATTCATTTGGACGTTTCTCAAAAGCTAATTATAGGTTCTTTCCTTCGAAACAATAGGACTGTTATGCTCATTACTAAACTTGTTGAAAAGATCAAATAGAATCAAGGTCTATTTTTTTATCAGAGGTTGAATTGATCATTAGAAAAAGAATTAGGCAAAAACTTAGGATACATTCTGAGAAAATGAAACTTCTTTGGAAGAGAAACAAATGAAAAACTTTCATAAGAATTCTTGTAGAGACGACATGAAGTTTTCATTCTGTATATGCTAGATCATGAATTAGTAACTGTATCCAATCTCTAAAAAAGTCCCAATTGTTTCAAACTTTCTATTTTTTAATATGATATTAATGGAATCTTCATGAATAAGATCTAACCTTAACCCATGACATTTCCATAAGATTCCTCTTTCTTATTATTAAGCAAGCCCTCGAGGGTTTAGTTGATTCATGATTTATGTTTCATCTTTCTATTTCTAATGATTCTTTTGTGATCGAGAACGAAGTTTCTGACCATAGTTCTTGAATGAGTAGTTGAAAAGATTCTGGAGTATCCTCAGGGTTAGGTATTATTCCTCGAATGATCATAGCACCAAGTAATTCATGACGATCTCTAATATGATCAGATTTATAAGCATCTCTTGCAAAATATGAGCAACATCAAATCCTTCTATAGCCCAAACTTCCATTTCTCCTACTCGCCCCCTTGCTTGGCCCTTCCCTTAAGGGGTTGTTGTGCATTATGTCCACTCAAACATCCATGAATTTTATCAACTTGATGAATTAATTTTAGGATATAGGACTTGCTTGTTGTTGTTCAAAAGGAACTTCAGTTCTTCCATCAAGTATTCTGCTTTTCCCAGATACTCAGGTTCAAATAACCATGGATTTTTTGCTTGCTTACTGGCTTCATATAATTTAGAAAACACTAGTTTTCTCATAGTTTCTTGCTCATATCTCTCATCAAAAGGTGCTATCCTATAATGTCTCTTTAGCAGATCCCTCGTTAACCGGGGAGAACATTCAAACATCTGTCCCACATTCATTCGTGAGGGTACTCCTAATGGGTTGAAGACCATATCGATAGGTGTTTTTATCTTGCAAGTAGAGCTTATCATGTCAAGACAGAATTTTCGAAATCATACCTTTATTACCATGTCTTCCGGCTTATCCACTTTGATTTCACATTTCTATCAAATATATACTCGAATCCTTTCTGGTTTATAACTAGAACCTACCTTTTTTAGGACCCATGGCACATCAATAACTTAGCCTCTTCCACCTATGGGTAGTTTTGGGTAGTTTTGGAGAAGTTTCTTTTGTAGTGAATACCTGAATGCTAAGTATGGCTTATACTAATCTATCCTCAGGGCCATACGAGGATTCATTTGTTGCCTGAGGTATTAATTTACCTACTAAAATATCACCAACTTCTATCCAAGATCCAAGCATCACAAATCCGGTTCTATCTAAATTTCAGAGTAATTGAGCCTCTAAATGCGGTGTTTCCTTAGTGATTCTTTCGGGACCTTGACTTGTCACATGAATTTGAAATACGAGAGAGGTTGAAGATGAGAGGAGAGATGAAAGAGATCTTTGAATAGGCTATCAAGAATTAAGAATCTCTAATAATGATAAAAAAAATTATTAAGGGCATAACAATTAAACTGAAAACATTATGGATTAAACAATCTAATGTTTAAGCAAGGAAATTCAAAGCTAAGGCATAGATAACCTGAGCAATCACTGAATGTGATGTTTAAGTAATGAAATCCAAAGTTAAGGCATAAATTACCTGAGCAGTCACTGAAAAGCATACAGAGAGTACTTTTAAGATGCAGTTATAACAATGAAAAAGCTTAAGAACTTAGGAACTAAACATACCATAAATTTGAACCTTCTAGAGGTCCCCCAAGTGCTCCATATGTTCCTGGTTCAATCTCCGTATAGCACTGAAAATGTAAATGTTCATCCACCGGTAAGTATGAAATACTCATTAAGTTTTTTTTCACTTGTGAACAGAACACAAAGTGCAATAATAATTCTTTGGCCGGGTAACATACACAAGGGTTTAAATATCAGATATCAAGGAAATATTGGAGGGTCAAAATTCATATTGGATTGCGTATATCAAGGATATGTGGTAAATATCGGAACATCATAATGAATATTTGTATATATAGTAGAACGCATTAAAATATAATCTCAACATACTTAATGAAACATATGCATACAAAATGTAAATAATATATGTATAGAATCACTAATCAACATTGTAAAACAAATAGAAGTACAAATCAATGTTGCAACATTTCATCTTATTTTTTAGGCCAAAATGTCATTTGATATAATGAGAAAATCATGATGTCTTGCCAAAAAATTGTCAAACAAAGTATATTGTTTTGCGACAAGCAATATAAAAGGATATATCAACCAACATATCGAATGATATATCGGCCAAATCGAGGACATATCCCCCAAAATAGCCAAAAAGCGGTAAATAATATTTAGAGACCATATTGGTTGCGGCAAAGGCTGTCAAAGGATATATCGGGCGATATATTGAACTATATCGGGGATACTTAAAACAATGAACATACATAAATATCGTTTCAAGGGACTTACATCAATTGCTTCATGAATGTCAGGGGTACCTTTAGTTACATTTTCACCAATTCTTTGATATCCTCTGATCAATAAAATCACATTAGTTTGAGGGTGGAAGGATACTCAAAATAATGGAAGCTAATGTTAAAATAATATTAAAGAAACTGAAGAATATAATACCTGTATCCAGTTTCTGATGACATCTTAATCTTAAGTTTTTCTTCATAGGGGAGTTCAAAGAATTTACGAGTCACCTCTTTTTCTTCTTTG